ATGGTACCGTTTAAAAATAGCTTGAACAAAGTCTTCTAGAACCTGAAAAATATCCCGCGTTCGGTTTTTTAGGAGCCTTGTTATCATTATTCATCTTGCTATAAAGTGTATTAGATAGAAAACTCTATTGACTATTAAAATCACTATTTCGATTGAAGGTACGTGCTTAACATTATGAAAAAAAAACCAAAAAAAATCATTGTTTCTAATCTTTTTTCCACCACTGTATAGGAATTGAAATGATTGAATAAACAACATTTGACAAAAAAAAACCTGGTTTTAGGAAAAATGTTTTTATTATGAATGACTCTTTTGCCAGAATTCCTTAGTAACAAAACAAGATGCTGATAGTTTCCTAGAGATTTTTTACTTTACATATTCTTTATAAATAAAATTTAAATCTTACCAATCATCAGTAATATGTGTAATACCAGTTAGAGAATAAACATAGTGTTGAATAATATACCACATACTTTCAATAAAATATGGATATCGAAATCGATCAGGTACTCGAACTTTTCTTTCAATCATCCAAACTTGTATTTGCATTGGAATTTTAAATGAATTTAAAAAATTACCACCAAATACAAGTGAATCTTCAACTGTATATACAGCATGAATCCAACCTGATGGTAAAAAAAATGTCCAACCAGGTTCAAGAATTATCATTTGACAATCATTTTTCGTACATAAATCAGCAAAAAAACATTTATTCTGTTGACCAGATAAAATCCATTCTTCATATAAACGTAAATGAGATTCAGTTGGTGGTAATACCCAAAATATTTTCTTTCCTTTTAATATATGATACCAAACAGAAGATCCACCTTAACAAAAATTTTTTTTTTTATCAAATTAAAATAATCAATAATAATAATTATTATTACCCATATCAATATGAAAATCAGTAAAACATTTTGCAACTGACATAAGAACATATCTGAAAAAGAATGAATAGATAATTGATAAAATCAAAAAAAAAAAAATTTTCTATTTTACTTTCGAGTTTTTGGATAATACATATGTTCTTGTTTGAGATTATTTTGATATTGTGCTTGAATATCTAACCAATATTTAGGCCAAGTATTTGATACCCAATCAATGTCACGTACCTTACAAAAAATAAAGAAAATTTTTATCATCAAATTTCAATTCTTAACTAACAATTGATGGTGATTCAACATATTGTTCAAGTTTTGTATGACTAAATTCACAAGAAATAACATTTAATAATTGTGAACGTTTTTCTGGTGATTGATCATAATAATCTGTCCATGATTTCATTGTCATTTGTGTTGATTCTTGTGTATCAACATGAACAACATCAATAAGACGTTGAGAACCAATACATGAACGAACATCATGTATTGTAAAATGAGATGTTGGAACTCGAAGACCTAAACCACGATGTTGTTTTACAATTATTGGATTTGGAAAACCAGTACGTTGAATATAGGATAAATTGAATTCTAAATTCATAGAAGAGAAATGCATAAAAGTCAATTCGAAACTAATATTTTTCAAAATCTTCTGTGACTTCGAAAATTCTCATAGAATTCATAATAGAAAATAGAATTAATTCAATAACAGGACTAATTCTATTAATATGTATCAAAAAATTTTAATTAAATACAAACCATCAGCTGTGAGTTCTTCAGCAAATTTGCCTTGATAATTATCTGGCGTAGTTAATTTCTCTTCAATCCTCCATTTTTGTCCTGTTTCCAATGCTTCTTCAAAGAACTCATCATCATCATCATCCACATAATTCTTCTTAACTCGTGTACGCTAAAAAAACAAAAACAAATCAAATATCTTGTCTATTGATCATCATTTACTAGATAAATATAGAAAAAATATTCATTAAAACTAATAATTAAAGTCTTTTTAAATTTGATTCATTGAATCATCGTATTTCTACAAACAAAACAAAAATATTTAATAGGAAAGCAAAAATTGGTCGTATGTGTGGTTTCTACCGAACCTTAGCGTACTTCCATGATTGTTCATGGATGTCAAGAAAAGCTTGAGCAAATACCCCAACGCTGTCTGAATCAGAGTTGGAACTGGACAGCTTTTTTTCTGTCCAGCCAGCAACCGGGCGGATGAATTTTACAGTCAAATTGGCAAAAATCTGGCGAAAAGGAATTGAATATTTACGTGTAGAAATTCGGACTAAGGGTGATCATTTTACATTTACGAAAGTTTGATAAATCCAAAAATCAATTTTGTAAATTTATTCTCATATCGTAAACACCGGACAGTTTTTAGCGGTAAACCGCAGTATTTATCAAAACCGGCGGTTTTTTTCCGAGAACTTTTATGACATGGGAAGATACAAGAAAAAATTATTTAAAATAGCAAAATCGATGATTTAGAGCAACTAAATGTTAATGATAATCAGCGAACTGGTTAACCGGTTCATTTTAGCGGTAAATTGTAGCGACGGGAACCGGTAACCGGACCAGTCAAATCGCGGTTAACCACCAGTTTTCATCATATGGGTTTAAATCAATATAATAATTTAAATTGAATTTAAAATTTATGTAAATCCAACTTAAATTTAAAATAAATTAACAGTAAATTGTCATCCCTAAATTCGAACTAGAAACTAAAACTGAGGAATGAAACTTTCACCATCACATTTTATAGCAAGATGCGTCAACCTTTCGAATCCGATGTCGATATAAATAAGCTATTTAAATCAAATTTATTTTTTCATCTTAATTTCAAAAAAAAAACAAGTTTATAAAAAAATCTAACATAAAATTGTAAATATTTATTTTTCTTGATTCAGATCGCTGTCTAAGTAGAATAATAAAATAAATTATTTGATCTAGATTAAATTGAGAGATATGCAACAAAAAGAAATCGATAGAGCTATAAAGTGAATAATCAATTGTTTATAGTTAAGTTAAAGATAAGATATCTATATTGAGTCTTTCGCAAACATATTCTTCTGACTTCAAAAATTTCATAAAAACACCGTTTTCAATAGAGAAAATTCTTGAATGCAAACAGCAATTGTGTAATGATGAACTGGCAAAAATCCGGTCCTGTTTAACTCTAATCTGAACTAATCGAATAGTTTCCGAACATCGAGTCAAACTTCAGTGCATATTCAATCACATATAAAAAAAGAAATGGCTTTGTAGATGATCGCATTGATAAAGAACAAGAGTGAAAATTTGAAAGACTTTCGAAGAATTTACTAACAACATTCTACATTGATGTTGTTTAATTATCATTCGATCAATTTTCATAGATTCATTTTTATATAGCAATAAATTTAACTGAATGTAAAATTTTAATTTCGAATTTATATAATTCTTGTTTTTTTTTTTTTTTTAGCAGCATCATGCAAAAATAAAAATCAATGCTTACTTTTTATTACTTTTAAAAGAAAGAAAAAGAAAAAAAAACGATATTAATATTATTTCTTCAGTTCTTTTATTTTTACAAAAAGAAAAGAACTTGAGTTTGTAATACCATTAAGTATCTTACACTATGATTAAAGTCGATTGCAGGTGGTTTTTTTTTTCATACTTTAGTGGGTAATAATAAACTTTTAGGTTGCTTTATTTTACATCGGATATTAGACTTTTTATTTAGTTTAATTTTTAATATGATGTCATAAAAGTTGGTAAGTCGAACAATTCACATGTATAGCCTAGAATTAAATAGAGGTGAGTGTGTACATTCAATAACTCGATTATGGCAACAGCAAGTGATCTGTGATTTTCAACAATCAAAAGAGGAGAAGTTCGAATGTCTTTTTGTCTGATATTATATATAATCATATTTCTATTCGATCAAATTATACAGATTTCTAGCAAATTTTCTAATTCTTTTTAATCAAAATTACATCAAATCGGAACAGCGTTTTTATCCATTCTTTCGCTGATTGTTGAAAACCACAGGTTGCCAGCAGTTGTCGTTGTCAAGTTATTACGCTTGCATGCACCGCTTTTAATTTCTGGTGCAAACACATTAGTTTTGAGCTAAAAACTTTACAAGACTCACATTGTTCCTGAACACTTAAAATCTTTCCTCAAGTCCTCAAAATTGTTTTAGTTTTTACAAAAAAAATCTTCTTAATTAAAAACTATAAAAATAAATAAGACACAATAGAATACCCTGGATCTTCTATTATACAATTAGATGGTTGACTATTATTTTATCATTTGATTTGACGCTTCTAAGACAATGAAATTTATGACTTTATTTTGTTGAATTCAAATGAACATTATTGTACAGTAAATAATGATTTTATCATTTAGCAATAATATTATTAGTTTTTTGAATTAATTATTTAAAATATAACTAAACCAATAATTCTTAAGAGGATTTATTGAATTTTACTATAAATGTTAATTATATTTTTTTCTTTTTTCTCTAACTGGTCTATTTTTCTCCAATTGAAATCAACAAAAATAATTCTATATATTATTTTTACCAATAATCTCGATATATCTACACATATATATATAATTGATAAAAACTTTTACTTACCAAACGACGACCTTCTACCTTTGAAACCATTATAATAGAAAAAAAAAAAAGAGAAAAAACTTTCGTTTTTTTCTTTCAATATTTCATTTAAATAATTTATTCAATTGATAGTTAAGATTATTTTTTCATATGAATGACTCAACCCTATGATACAAAAATAACTACAAAGTCGATACTTGAAAAAAAGAAAATTTTTTTTTATTGCATCGAACCCATGAGATGCTTATCAATTATTTGTTTTGATTTTAAAATTTCTAAATTTCATTCTTAATAATAAATTAGATAACATGATTTTCATTTTACTAAACAAAAAAATAACACTATTTTCTATTCATTGAGGTCGCTAGTTATCAGTAAAAATCTCTATATTTGCATAAATGCATTAAAATGATAGAGGACAAAGATCTTACTATGTATTGGTTGATAGTGGCATCGGCTTTGTCTGTCATTTTTATGTGGTTAATAGATAATTAATGATAGATTGCACAATGATTAAATCATTTTCTAACATATCACAACGTTTTATTTTTCTTACTATTATTTGTATTCTTATATGTTTTATACAAATTGTACTTATTTTTCAACTTTTTTCTGATTCGTCTTCTAATGAAAAATCTATTTTATTACCTTCATTTCATATTTCGAATACAATATTAAATTGTACACAGAAATTAAAATGTCCAAATAATATTAAATATTTTTCTATTCATATTGATAAAAATATTGAATATCCAAATATAACTTATATACGTTCACCTATTTTTTCAATTATTCTTGATATAATTCGAAATTCATCTTATTATACAAATGATTCATCATTAGCTTGTATACATATAGCACCTGTTGATACACTTGATCGAGATCGTCGATCAAAAAATGGTTATTATACATATTTTATTGAACAACGTTTTAAATTTTTTCATGAATGGTCAGATCCAAATAAAATTCATTTGATATTTAATCATTATACAGGTAGATTTCTTTTTTTTTTGTTCTTTCATTTTATCGAGATAGATCATGCGAAACTCCTTAGACATAATCATAAATCATGTCATCCGATCCGTCTGAACGAAAGTCTGTTAGATAATGAGCTTTTTTTTGTTCGTAATAGTAGTTGAGACAAAGATATTATAAAACATATCCTTAGTACATTATCTTCTAGGAACTTGGCCTTCTTATCGACGTACATTAGATTTTATATTACCATCACAATATATTCTTGCATCAACTAGTTTTACTTATAATAATTATAATTGTTTATCAGATATAACATTTCCATTATTTCATATTGATTATCCATCAAATTTAACAAATAAATTTTTTTCTTCACGTAAAATTCTACTTTCATTTAAAGGTAAAAGTTATGAAGATGTTCAACATCATCGTACATTTTTTCGTCATTTAAATAATAATCATGATATTATTATAAAATATACTGATAATAATAATAATAATAATAATAATAATTCTTATGATCAAAATGAATATATTGAACTTCTTCGTCAATCATATTTTTGTCTTGTACCTAGTGGACGTCGTTTATATTCATATCGTTTTCTTGAATCATTACAATATGGTTGTATACCTGTTATAACAACAAATGATAATGAATTAATTATACTTCCATTTAGTGAAATAATTAATTGGTCAAAATCAATTATTATTATTTATTCAAATATATCATTAAGTCTTTTACCATATTATTTAAGAAATATTTCTATTTATCAACGAAATCAAATGCAAATAGAATGTAGAAATATATGGTTAAAATATTTTTCATCTATATCACGAATCATATTAACTTTACTTGATATATTAAATGATAGATTTATCACTTCATCGTCTTCTTTTCTTTCTTTCGAACGTTAATCATGTATACACATGCGATAGAATTTTTTTCTTTTCTTTTCTTTTCTTTTTCGTCTGCTTCTAATTTATCGATATGATCGAATCGGTCGAACTTTGTTCACTTTGTTTCATAGGTCACGATAAACAGGAGAAGTTTATCCTTTTTTTTTTTTCTGTTTTTAATTTCAGATCTATTCTATATTATATAGAAAAGAAAAATAGAAGATTAATTATGACAGATACACTGATTGATGATGATATTATTGAAACAAATAAACCAACAACATCAGGTTCTAATTCGTCAGTAACAACAACTCGTCGACCAATGTTCATTGAAACTGAAGTACGTACAGATACAATAACAAAACGACGAATGGGATCAAATACTACAACAAGTAGAAGTGTTTATGATGTACTTCAAAATACAAAATCACCTACAGAGTAATTATTTTAATTATAAAAGAAAAAAACGAAATATTAGAAACAATTTTTCTTTTAGTGGACTTCCACCAACAACTTATACTTATGCTCACAGGTTAGGTTTTTATTGACAAAAAAAACAAATCAAGCTATTTGTACAGTTTGAATATAAATTATCATTAATATATTCAGTCTTGTATAAAATTTACTTGAGAGTGTTCACTTTGTTTGATTTGAATTATTATTCATAGAAGAAAAAAGCCGATACTTGAGAATGAGTAAACAAATGTATTCTGAGGCGTAAACTGATGGACTAACCTAGTGGAAAGAATTATGAAATTAGAATAATTGAAAAGATCTGGTTTTTTTGTTTGGCTATTGTATATGACGTAATACACAAATAGATATAAGTTATCTCTTATCATCAATTCGATCGCTTTGAAGTATAGTACGATAACAATTGCTTGTTGTTTTTACAATCTCAACTTTTAGTTGAATATCAAGAAAACTTGGCAAGATTCCAATAAAATACCTCAAAGAAAGTTCGATTTCTTTTTTTGTTAAGTTTAAACGTACATTGCTCGAAGCTATTTGATACAATCAATAAGTGTTTGTTAATGGTTTTTTTTTGTTTGAATGTAAAGTGGCATGACGTGAGATATGTTTTATACAATGGTTTAACCTTCAAGCAACAAGGTACCATTACGATACGATTGACAGAATTGAACTTACCAAAATAAATATTAAATATTCAAATGATGTAATTTATCATAAACAAATGAGAATCTCAATGTCGTACAAATTGTTTGCTAAAAGATCGAAATATGAAATCATCTAGAAAACTATTAATTAAAAATATAGAAGTTTAAATAATTTTAGATTCGAATAGCGTATAGATATATATATATATCGATAAACATCCGTTTTGTAATTAATTTTATTGAATTTTTTTTTAATTCTAGTGTTTCCTATATGCCTGTGACGGAAAATGGTGCATATGCTGTTCCAGTAATGGCTCGTCGTGATTTACATGGTGATTATCGTTCATATGGATCATCAACAAATTCGGTATTTTCATCACCAACACGATTTATGTCAAATGTTCGTTCACAATTAGCTAATGGATATTCAGCTATACGTGATCGTTTAATGCATCAAACTACTCAACAACAAGGAACAGAAACACTTCTTAATTCACCAACATCTCATCGTAGTAGAGGATTTTCTCGTTCATCATCTCAATCATCAACAAATGGTCAAACAACAGGTTATAATCTTCGTCGACGTACTGGTGCTGCACCTGTTCATTCAACACCACGTGATAATGATAATGAACAAATTGAACAACATAAATTAACAAGAAAAGAACGAAAAAGTCAAGATCAACAAAATGAACAAGAAGAAGACGAAGAAGAAGAAGAAGAAGAAGAATATAATAAAGAAAAAGAAACAAGAAAAAAACATGAAAAATTTCATGAAGATAAAGATAATACATTAATAAGTTTTATGAAAAATCTTCTTTATATACCAATTAATCTATTCAAATTTCTATGGAATAATCTTATGAGTTTACCATGGTGGTTACTTATTCCACTTCTTTTTCTTCTTGGTCTTTATGCTTGTAAGTATTCTCTTTTCTTTTTTCTTTCGAAGAAAAATATACTAAATGTAAAATTTTGCTACTCATCTATTCATCGTAGACGAAAGCTCAATAATCATTAGGTACATTCTGAAAAACATTAAGTATTAGCCTTCCTTGACATCAGAAAAAGGCATTGAGTGACATATAAACAATACAAGTCAAACTATTCTAGAACATTCCGAAGGCGTGTTTATGTAAAGGAAGACTTCATAAGTATTACCAAGTTCTGAGATGTCAATAGGTAGCGGCGTCTACGGTGTGCAATAGAACTTAGTCTTCCTTTATAAACCTACATATCAGAGATGTGCACCGCACCAAAAGCATTTTCGTGAAGCGGAGTAGCCGTCTCGCGCGCTTAATCGCATTATATCTTCATTTTACTTCGAAAAATTCAAGGAAGTAGCGCTTTTTCCATAGGCTATATCCCCCCATAAGGTTTCTTTTCGTTTCAGTAATTTTTTGTTATGGGTAGTATGAAGATGTAAAATCACCCAATCAGACCTTGGACAGTTTTAGTCTTAGAAAAAAAATCAATATTTTGGAGAACGATCACTTATATAGGAAACTACTATTTAGAGGTTTCTGTAGTCGAAAGTTGGTTTTTCATGTAAAATGAGTATGATATTCAGAATCAGCATGAAAAATTACACTAGATAGTCTATTTTTCATTGTAAAATATTTTCCATGGGAATCTAATCCCTACTCCCCCTCAACATTTTATCCATGAGATTTTTCCCCCTTGGTTCCCTACGGGTCAAATTTTCATGGAAAATATTTTACAATGAAAAATACACTATCTAGTGTAATTTTTTATGCTGATTCTGAATATCATACTCATTTTACATGAAAAACTAACTTTCGACTACAGAAACCTCTAAATAGTACTTTCCTATATAAATGTTCGTTCTCGAAAATATTGATTTTTTTTGCTAAGACAAAAAAATATTTGTGCGAAAAAAAACCTGCGAGGAGGGTGGGTATAAGCGTCACTTCCTTAGAGTAGCTCAATCTTAATGAATAAAAATAAAATGCTAGTCCTACAGAAGATTAAAATTGATTTGAATTCTTCGGTTTCAACTTCAAGAAATTATAACTGTTAATATAGTCTCAATCCCGCTCTCAAAATTTTGCGAGGAAGAGAGACGACTGCCTCTATCCTCGATCCGATGGATACTAAAATATATTCTTTGTTTTTTTTTTTAATTATTTTATAGTTCCTTATTTGGCATGTAAATCATTTGAACATTATCCAGAATCAAAAGCTTATGAATATTGTCAAGATTTTCAAGAATATAGAAATAAACAAATGGGAAATATAACGAATTTTATTCGTGAAAATACATATAATCGTATTTCTTATTATCTTAAACGATTTTATCATTGGTTAATTGATATAAAAGATTGGATAATGAATTTTCTTGATGATATTTATTATACAATAAAAAAAACATTTCATCGACAAGTTAATCAAGTTAAAGGACGTGTTAATAATGTTGTTGAAACAACAAAAGACAATGCTAAAGAATATTGTGATGCTAGTTTACAAAAAGTTCAAAATTTAATGGATGAATTTAAACATGAAAAAGAAAAATATCTTGGTAGTCGACATGCATTAAAACCTGCACAAGAACGAGAATTAGATGCTGTAAGTAGATGATTATTAAGAAAGTCAAAAAAAAAAAAAAAAAAAACTATTCCTTTTAGCTTATTCGACAATTACTTGATGAATATGCCGCTGATGAAACTGGTCAAGCTGATTATGCACTTGAAGCTAATGGTAAATTAAATAGAAACACAAGAAAAAAAAAATATATAAAATTTCTTTTAGGTGGAAAAATTGTTGATACAAGATGTACGGAATATACTGATGAACCACGCCAGAATGTTGTTAAATTTCTTGGTATTCCTATAGTACATATGTCTAAACAACCGGATATAATGATAAAAGTTTGTTTTTTGATTTATATATATATTTAAAATTTTAATTGAAATATATTAATTATTTTGTAGTCTGGTCGAATGCCAGGTCAATGTTTTCCATTTAAAGGTGATCAAGGAAGTGTTATTATTAAATTAGCTGTACCTGTTAAACCAACTGAATTTGTACTTGAACATTTATCAAAAACTATTTCAATTGTTGGACATATTAATAGTGCACCGAATAATTTTACTGTTTATGTAAGTAAAAAATATTATTTTGATAAAAGATATTGACATTAAACTTTTTGTATTTCCCGAAAAAATCAATTTATTGGTTTTTTAGGCTTTAAAAGATAAAAGTGATAAAGAAGGTATGGTTCTTGGTCGATATTATTATGATGCAGAGAATGGTCCATCACTTCAACGATTTAAACCTCAAGTTTGTTTTTGTAATTTTTTTTTTAATATTAAAATGAATTTTAATATTTAGCTTGTTAATGTACCAACTGTTGAATATGTTGAACTTCGAGTAACATCAAATTGGGGTAATCCAAATTATACATGTGTATATCGATTTCGTGTTCATGGTGATTTGCCAATGGTACAACCATCAGCACCACCAGCTGCATAAAATGCATTATTGTTGCTTTTTTCTTTTACAAAAAAAAAAAAAAAAAAAAAAACCTAAATTCTTAACGTTATCGCGGTAATTCATATTGAATAAACGCATAATGAAATTTTGTCTTTTTGTTTATTTCTAAAAAAAAAAAAAACGTCTAGCTTGTGTATTTAGAGAAAATAAAACAGATTAAAAAGATGTTTATGAAAAATTAATTTAGACATTCTTTTTTTTTTTTTTTTCTTTTGTTTATTTGTGTGTGGTTATTCTATTGGTTCAATCACGCTAGTTTTTTTTTGTGTAATTGTCGGTGTGGTTCTTTCATTTTTTCTTTTTTTTTTTTTGTCAACTTATATGTTCGAAAATAAAAATCTAGAGATCTTTACAAATAACCACGAAAAAAAAAAAGAATAGAGTCTTGCGCAACAATCAATTGAAATAAATAATTAGATCGAAAAATGTCAGAAGATGATCTTATACAACTATCTGCTGTTTCTAAATCTTTGACTTCCGTAGAAGAAATCATAATGAATTTCAGCCGCATTCAGCTATATTGTCTTCATGTGTGACATGTCGATCGAACTGATATTTTGCGAATAAGTAAACACCGGTGAGACTATTCGAAGCCTATAGTAGTTCGTCCTCATGCAGTGACCTTCCTTATCTTTTATAGTTTTTACTAAATTTTTATCCTTGCCAAGGTATTTGTGAAAAATCATAGTGCGAATTTCAACTGAAAAAAAATCGTTCAATGTGAGTCTTGCAATGACTTGAAAATTTCAGCCAAAAGGAATGTATTGTTCCTGTGAAATATCGAATCTTGAAAATGCTGGGTTCTTTTACCTTTCCTTGTAACTTTGGATTGTTTTTAGGTATTCAATATTTCATAAAGAAATTTTCAAGTTGAAATTCTCTATTTTGATTTTTGCACAAATATTTTGTCAGTGATAAAATAATTTAATAAAACTGTAATAGCTTAGCATGTGGGGACGAATTCTTTTTAGACTTAGGAGTCTAGTTCATCTCTATTTATTAAATGATGTCGTCTTTTGTGTATTATTTTCTTTTGCTTATATTGACTAAGTCCGTTAGTCTTGTTTTAATTCATTATATAGAATCGGATGAAACTGTCGGTCACAAATATTACATCAGTAATTTTTTGTAGCCTGTTGGCAATGAATTTAAGATGTTAAGATCTTTGTTTGATACTTATGTTATTAACATCTAATTCTTCGAATCTGATAGCATGTGATTTTTGGTTATTGGACTTGATCAAGTAAAATCTAAGTGATTGCGAATGATTACATCATTCTGTAAAGAATTTCATGAATTCTAACAGAATGAAGAAATACTATCGATAATAGGATGCAATTCTATGTAAACAATTAAGATGGCTACTTTGAATATTTGATGAACTTGTTCTTGTATTTTTTGTCCATCTTAGTACTTTTGTAATGCTCTTAATATTATAATATTAATTGAAGAATGATGAAATATTACAGAACTATAAAGTACTGTTTTGCACTCTCAGTATATAAAAAGAAAATTTTCCTTGATAAATATAATAAATTATCAATTTTTTTGTAATTTTATGATCAATATAAGAAGAAAATTTAATATTGGAATTCTCAAGATAATAACTAATACTTGATATTTATTATACAAAAATTTAATTATTAAAATTTCTACATTTAACTAGGACAATTTTGTCATATGAATAGACATATATACATTGAAGATTAATACCTTTTTCATATTTCATCGATATTGTGTTATATTTAAACATCAGAATTATTCATTTTTTAATTGATGTTTTTTTCGTCGTATGATTCATAAAATATTTACGAGTCTGTGTATTCTGTCGTTGTTATTATTATCGTGAAAGTAAAACTAAACGTTGTGCAATAACAACATTAACAACAGAAAGAGAGAAAAACATAGATTTTTTTTTTTCTCTTTTTTTTTTAAGGGGCAAACTTGCACAATGTGTTGTAAAAATATATTTCACTGTGACCTATGTAATATCTTGTGCGTGTCTCCGGGTTCTTTTTTCACTTCTTTTTTTCTTGTTTATAAGTAGACATTCATTTTTACATATTCATCTAGATTATCATTTTAACAAACGATATGAATCCATCAACTTCGACTACATCTGCCAATAAAAGTGGTGCAGGTCCATTGTATCGTATACCACCTTATCATTATATACATGTTTTGGATCAAAATACAAATGTTACACGACTTGAAGTTGGTCCAAAAACATTTATTAAACAAGACAATGAAACAGTTACAATTGGACCAGAAAAAATGATTACAGTACCGTACGTAAATTTGTTTTAAAAGAAAACAAAACAAAACAAAAAAGAAATTATAAATTATTTATCTAGGCCACGTCATTATTGTGTTGTTGAATCACCTGTTGTACGTAATGAAGCTGGAGAAGTTCAATATGATGTAAATGGCCAAGCTAAACTTGTTCATGCTGATTTAGATATTCGTCTTGCACAACCTGATCAATCACCATTTCCACTTTATCCTGGAGAAATTCTTCGTCAAGTATGAAACAAAAAAAATCAAATCGATATTTTCTCATATTATTATTATTATTATTTTTGATTTTTCAGCCAGTTACCCCTTTAAAAGTTGTACCAGCTAATTCAGCATTACGTTTAAAAGCTGTACTTGATTTTGATGATGAAATAACAAAAGAACAACGTCGTGCTGGTGATGAATGGTTATTTGAAGGACCAGCAACATATATTCCACGAAAAGAAGTTAGTGTAGAAGAACAAATTCGTGCAACTGTTATTGGTTCTAATCAAGCTATTCGTTTATGTGCAAAAAAAGAAATTATTGATCGTACAGGTCAACGACGTGTTACTGGTGAAGAATGGTTAGTGAAAAAAACTGGTGCTTATTTACCACTTGCATATGTAAATTAAATTATTATTTTTTTTTTCGAGATATTTTATTTTATTTTATTAATCGAAATATTTTCTAGGAAACAGTTGTCACTGTTGAAAATGCACATGTTTTAACAGATAAAAAAGCTCTTCATTTACGTGCATTAAAAACTTTTACAGATGATTTTGGTAAAAAACGTATGAATGGTGAAGAATGGCTTGTTACACTTAATGATACTGAAACACATACACTTAGTGTTTATGAACAATTAGTTGCTGTTGTTGATGTAATAACACTTAATTCACGTCAATATTGTGTTATTCTTGATCCAGTTGCTAATGGAAAACCACAATTAGGAAAAAAGGTTTGTCATAATTAAGTTTTATTTTATGAAATATGATCTAAAAGAAATATTGAGTTATTACAGAAAGAGATGATGGTTAAATTGAGACATCGAGAATTTAAAAAGAGAAAAATCAAATATCTATTTTTGTGATGTACGACAACCACAGTGGCTTAACCGATCGATTTATGTTTCTAAATCAATAAGAAACAATCTTTGATTGATTAGCAATAGTCATTATATCGTTTTTTTTGTTTGTTTTTAGAAACTTATTGTTGGTGAAAAATCATTTTTTCTTCAACCAGGTGAAAAACTTGAAAATGGTATTCAAGATGTTTATATATTAGGTGAAGATGAAGGTGTTATTCTTAAATGTATTGAAGCATTTACTGATGAACAAGCTAGTACAGATCGAAATCCTGGTGATCGATGGATGATTCGTGGTCCAACGTAAGAGATTGATTTTTAATATCAAGAATTTTTATTTATTTATTTATTTTTATTATAGTGAATATATTCCTCCAACACAAGTTGAAGTTGTTACACGTCGAAAAGCAATGCCTTTAGATGAAAATGAAGGTATTTATGTACGTGATATAAAAACAGGTCGTGTACGAGCTGTTATTGGTGAAACTTATATGTTAACACAAGATGAAGAACTTTGGCAAAAAGAATTACCTAAACAAGTTGAAGATTTACTTACACGTGATCCATTAGCTGAACGAAATGTTCCAACACGTAATCAAGTATCAGATAAATCTCAACAACAACAACAAACAACAACAACTACACAAGCAACAAGTTCAAAATCAAGTACAACAAAACGTGATAAATCAAAATTAATTACTTATCGTGTACCACATAATGCTGCTGTACAAATATATGATTTTAAATCTAAAAAAGCACGTATTATTTTTGGTCCTGAACTTGTTATGCTTGGTCCTGATGAACATTTTACATTACTTTCATTGAGTGGTACTGTACCAAAAAAACCAAATCAAATTCAAACACTTTGTTTACTTCTTGGTCCAGATTTTTTTACTGATGTTATTGTTATTGAAACAGCTGATCATGCTCGTCTTTCACTTCAACTTTCATATAGTAAATTTATTTTTGAATTTTTAAAAATTCTTTTTATGTCCTTTTTTACATTTATTTAATTAGATTGGCATTTCGAAGTTAATGATATAAAAGATGAAAAAGAAGCTGCAAAACTTTTTTCAGTTCCTGATTTTGTTGGTGATGCAGCTAAAGCTATTGCATCACGTGTTCGTGGTGCTGTTGCTGGAACACAATTTGATGATTTTCATAAGAATTCCGCTCAAATTATTCGTGCATCTGTATTTGGTCTCGATGCTAATCAACGTATACGAGATCAATTTGTTTTTCCACAAAATAATCTCGTTATTACATCAATTGATATTCAAAGTGTTGAACCAGTTGATCAACGTACACGTGATGCACTTCAAAAGAGTGTTCAATTAGCTATTGAAGTAAGATAATAAATATTTAATTGATTATAAATAAATAAAAAAAAAACACGAATGAATTCTTTAGATAACAACAAATTCACAAGAAGCTGCAGCTAAACATGAAGCTTCACGTCGTGAACAAGAAGCTAAAGGTTTATTAGAACGTCAACGTATTAAAGATGAAGCTGAAGCTGAAGAAGTTCGAAGACAACTTCTTGACTTACAAGCTTTATCAGCTGCTGTTGAATCAACAGGTCAAGCTAAAGCTGAAGCACAAAGTCGTGCTGAATCAGCTCGAATTGAAGGAGAAGCTGCTGTTGATCAAGGTACAAAAAAAAACATTATATATATATATATATATATATATTAAATGTCTAAAAAAAAAACATAAATTTTTTCTTTCTTTTGAATATAGCTCGTCTTAAATCTGAAGCAACACGAATTGAAGCTGAAGCTGAATTATCACGTTTAAAATTAGCACGTGAAGCTGAAATTAAATTTTTACGTGAACAAAATGAATTAGAAATAAATAAAAAATCTGAAATGTCAAGAATTGAAACAGATAAATTTAAATTACAAGTTGAATCAATTGGTCCATCAACAATACAAGCTATTGCTACATCTGGTCCCGATACACAAGTTAAACTTTTACAAGCACTTGGTCTTCAATCAATGTTAATTACTGATGGTCGTACGCCAATTAATCTTATGGGATTTGGACAAGGTCTTTTAGGTGGTTTAACTGGAAATACAAATAAAAAATTACGATCATCAACAACAACTTCAAACAATTATCATGTCGAAGACAATGAATAGATAAAAAAACATTCGAAAAATTAATTCGTCCTTTATTCATATGTGTGTTGGCGTTATATTTTTATATACACTTAGTTTGATTTCTTTTTAAAATACTTATGTAAGAATAATAAATATAATGAACAATTTTATATCAATTTAATTTTCTATTCTAAAGTTAAAAGTTTTATGAAGATGTCGATAAAATTATATGATAAATATTTAAAAAAAAAATTTCATAGGTAGATATAGGCAAGATGGTTCTAGGATCACGATCAATACTTTTTCATTGGGAACGATACTTTTTATAATCGTGTAAAACTTGAGAGGAACTTTATATTGTTTCGCTCATGTCGATTCATAGAAGTTCAAATCTGAAGTTTCCGTGGTTGCCTCCCACGACATAAGTGTAGTAGGCATTCTTTGTTGTTTCTGTTTTTTTTTGCTAACAGTCATAGTTTACCGGTAGGAATTTTGTGAAGGATGATTTGAGTTAAATGACTTGGTTCTTGTCTTAATAGTCGTACGATTAAAGATGTGAAGCACAGAGATTTATTTTTTTGGTTTCGGTCTAGAAAAATGGATTCGTATCATATGTAAAAAAAATTCATGAATATTCGATTTTTTGGATTTAAACTGTAATCTTTAGTTTCGATTGGGACAATTTTTCTTTCTCTCTATGTTTTTTGATATTTGTTTGCATCGGAACCGACGGGATGATATCTTATTTCGTAATTTAATGTCATCTTGATAGTACTAAAAATTTTTTTTTTCGTAGGTTAATACATTTTACCTTGAACAAGGATAATAAAATTTTTATGTGACACATGTGTTTTTTACACTTGACAATATTTCAATTTTTCCTTCATAAATACAAGGTCATTTGTTTTTCTTATTTTTGTTTACTAACTGCTTTCATGTTTTATGTTACCTGTCAATAGATAGTCATTTTGAATGATTATGCATTTATTTTCTTTGATTAAAAATAACGATTATAATTTTCTTTTACCTTGAAACTAATGCTATTTTCAAGTGCAAATTTAGTCAGTTTGAATTGCTTATTTTTTTTTTTGTCAAAGAATACTAATTCTTATGATATTTTATTGTTGATAATTATGATAAAAAAAAAATTTCTATACGTTATACAAATACATAAAACCAAATAAATGTGATAATAGAGTGTTCGGGTTTGTTTTTTAAAATCTGACTGCACTCAAGTCAATATTATTTTAATTTGTTTTATCGTACGTGAGTGCTTAATGTTGTTGTACAGTCGTTGATCCAACTAAATCAACAGCTGTATTAAAAAGATTAATTGGGCTACGTCCATCCGTAATTAATGTTGATTTAATACCAAGAGCTTGAAGAAGTTTAACCTAAAAATAATGAAAGTTTTTTTTTTTATTAAAAAAATAAGAAAACAAAAATAGAAAATTTACTTGATTATCTGGTCCACTAGTAGCAATAGCTTGAATTGTTTTTGGTCCAATAGCACTAACATGTTCTTTAAATTCGTTTATTTCAACTTCAGCTAATCGTTTAGCTTTATCAATTTCTAGATCAGCTGTCATTTTTGAATAATTTAATTCTAATTCACGTGCTTGTGTTAAACGATAAAGTTCAATATCAGCTTCAATTTTTGCTGCTTTAGAACGAAGTGTAGCTAATATGAAAAAAAAAAAACAAAATTAATTTACGATGTAATAATAAATAATATTTATTTTTACCTTGTTCAACAGCAGATTCACCCTCAATTTTAGCAGCTTCAGCTCTTGATTGAGCTTCAGCACGTGATTGACCAGTTGATTCAACAGCTGATGAGTCAGCTTGAAGTTGTAATAACTTTCGACGTTCCTTTTCGGCTAAACAAAAACAAAAAAAAAACATCGTATAAAAAAAATTCTTTAAACAAGAAAAATAAATTTTACCTTCAGCTTCATCAGCAATCTTTTGTCTTTCTAAATGACCTTTTGCTTCTTGTTCTATTCTTGAAGCTGTATGTCTAAAAGAATATTTAAAAATAATTATTTATTTTATTATATTTCTATCAAATTATTTTCTTACTTTGCTTGAGCTTCTTGAGAATTTGTTGTAATCTAAAGAATTTATTTATATTAGTTATAATAAAATATCAATTGATTGATCTTCTTACTTCAATAGCTAATTGAACACTCTTTTGAAGTGCATCACGTGTTCGTTGATCAACTGGTTCAACACTTTGAATATCAATTGAAGTTAAAACTAAACTATTTTGTGGAAATAAAAGACGATTATTAACACGTTTATTTTCATCAAGACCAAATACAGATGCACGAATAATTTTTGCTGAATTCTTATGAAAATCATCAAATGAAATACCAGCAACAGCACCACGAATTTTTGCAGCAACAGCTTTACAAAAATCTCCAATAAAATCAGGAACAGAAAAAAGTTTTGCAACTTCTTTAATATCATTACGATCTTTAACCTTGAAGAAAAAAGAAATTAAATATGTTAAAATCAAATAAAATCTTTTTTTTTTTATTTTCTTACGTCAAAATGCCAATTATATGAAAGTCTAAGTGAAAGACGAGCATGATCACTTGATTCAATAGTAACAATATCACTTGAAAATTCTGGTCCCATTAAAAGACATATTGCTCGAATTTTATTTGGTACTTTAGGTTTTTCACCAGATAAATTTAATACTGTAAATTGTTCATCTGGTCCAAGTATAACAAGTTCAGGACCAAAAACAATACGTGATTTTTTAGATTTAAAATCATATATTTGTACAGCAGCATTATGTGGTACACGATAATTAACAACTTTTGATTTATCTCTTGGTGGAATAACATATGATGTATTAGATTTATCTTCAAAATGTCTTGCATCTAATACAAGTAATTGTTCAACTTGTGTTGGTAAATCTTTTTCCCAAAGTTCTTCATTTTCAGTTAATAAATATGTACTACCAATAACTGAACGTATTTTACCAGTTTTAACATCACGAACATAAATTCCTTCATTAATATCTAATGGAATAGCTTTACGTCGTAGAACAACTTCTGCTTCAACAGCTGGTATATAATCTTTTGGACCTCGAACCATCCAACGATCACCAGGATTACGTAAAACTTTCTATTTGAATAGAAAAGAATTTTTTTTTTTTGTTTTTCGAAAAAAAATAATAAAACTTACTCCATCTTCTTTAAATGATTCTGTACAACGAAGAATAAGACCTTCATCTTCTTCAAGAACATACACATCTTGAATACCTTTAGCTAATTTTTCACCAGGTTGAAGAAAAAATGTTTTTTCACCCTGAAAAAAAAAAAAGTTTCTTTGTTTTTTTCTATTTATATAAAATCTAATTTTATTTATACTTTAACAAGTTTTTTCCTTCCAAGTTGAGGTTTACCATCGGAATCAACTGGATCAAGAATAACACAATATTGACGAGAATTTAATACTGTTACTGTTACAACACCAACAACCTATGTGTAAATATTATTTTATTAAGTTTCTTTTTCTTTCTATTCGACAAAACAAACAAACAAAAATAAAGTTAACCTACTTCTTCATATACATCAGGGATATATGTTTCAGCATCATTTACATATACTAACCATTCTTCTCCATGAAGACGTCTACGTTTGAATGCATCAGTAAATGTACGCAATGCACGAACATGAAGAGCTTTCTGAAAACATAAATATATGATTATAATGATATCTTATAGATTAAAAAATATCATACTTTATCAGTAAGTACATAAGCTGTGACAGTCGAGACAACTTCTTCATAGGCTAATGGCAAATAGGAACCAACGGTTCGATTAAGCCATTCTTCACCAGTTTCTCGTTCGATACCATCTCGATCTGTCATTTCTTTTTTAGCACGTAAACGAACAGCTTCATTAGGTTTAAGAATAACAGCTTTAACTTGTTCTTCAACACTAACTTCTTTACGTGGAAAATATGTTCCTATTAAAAAATAAGATAAGATTTTGCAAATGATTATTACAACTCGAATTTTTTTTATACCAGGTCCTTGAAAAAGAAATTCATCACCAGCTCGAATTTGTTCATCTTGATCATTAATAAAATCAAGAACAGCACGAAGACGTAAAGCACAATTAGGTTCAATAACTTTTAATGGTGTTACAGCTTGTTTAAGACTTTCTCCTGGATAAAGTGGAAATGGTTCTTGTGCAAAACGAATATCAACATCTGAATGAAGTAATTTAACTTGACCATTTCTATCCATAACAACTTTGCCATTTTTATCTCGAACAGCTGGATTTTCAATAACAGCATAATGACGTGGACTATATAGATTATAATATAGTAAAATAAAAATAAATAAATACTATAAAATTATAAAAACTAATTTTAAACATACGGTATAATTAACATGCGTTCAGGTCCAAGTATAACTTTTTCATGATCTTGTTTAACAAAAGTTTTTGGACCTACTTCAAGTCGAGTTACATTTGTATTTTGATCAAGTACATGTAAATAATAGAAAGGAGGAATTCGGTATACTAAATATACAATTATAAAATTAAAAAAAACCTAAATAATAATCAATGATGTATCTTACCACCAGTAACTTTTGAATCGGCCATGGTTTTTTTTTTCTTGTTATTAAAAACGACGAATCTGTAAGAATAAGAAGTCCTTTTATGTATGCTAATATTCGATTAAAAAAAAAAAAGGTGCTCTATAATAGAGAGGGTTATATGAGACAAAAAAAAAAAAACAACAATTTTCAACTCGATTGTGAAATGACATCCGTATTAGTTTATGTCAAACATTGCACGACTAACCTACAATAATAACCGAATGAGGTTGATTCATGTCGTAAATAAGAAGAAGAAAAAGAACAGAAGGGTTGAAGAGAGTGAATTAGAGAAAGAACGCAAGAGCCTTGAATGACACACCATATTACAACACAACAGTGAAAGTATAAAGATATAATAATTTCATGTAGTTCTGAAATATTTTTGCTTAAGAAATTTTCAAAGTGTATAGAGAAAT